AGCCTCTTCAGCCTTTATGAGGTCCCCCCCCCCCCCGCTAGGCTTTCTTTTTTTTTTTTTTTTTTTCCCTCCCCATAGCTGCAATGAAACAATGAGTGCTCATTTGGCTAAGAATCTCATGCGCTCCATGACCCCCCCACCCCGCCCACTCCTTCCCCAAGTCTTTGTGACCCATTCACATCTGGCAGCGTTGCCGATGACACTTGGTAACAGACTGCTCGCCCCCCCCCACGCTTTTTTTTTTTTTTTTTTTCCCTCCCCATAGCTGCAATGAAACAATGAGTGCTCATTTGGCTAAGAATCTCATGCGCTCCATGACCCCCCCACCCTGCCCACTCCTTCCCCAAGTCTTTGTGACCCATTCACATCTGGCAGCGTTGCCGATGACACTTGGTAACAGACTGCTCGCCACCCGCCACGCAAGTGTCCCCACCATGCCCCCATGCCGCCCCTTGTTGAGCAAGTGTCACATGTCAATACTCCTTGTGTGTGTTTTCGTTGTCCTCAGGCACCTCTCCAGCCACCCCCGGGGTCTTCGGCTTCCGTGGTGGCAGCCGCCGCGGCCGCCGCCGCCGCATCGGGGACCCCCCAGTCGCTGAAGCTGACGTACCCAGAGACTCTGGACCGCATCAAGGAGGAGTTCCAGTTCCTGCAGACTCAGTACCACAGGTGCGTATCACATTTTAAGTGATGATAATGTGAACGTTTCGCATTCCATAATTGATCTCCCACATCGATCCGATTCTTTGATTCCGATTAGGTGATGGGCTCAAATAATGCCACTTGGGTTTATTTGCGTGAACTCTTTAATATCTTTGGAGGGAAGATGCAGCATTTCCAATATGCTCTCATAATCTGCATGGAAAGGAAGAAAATTATTTCTGAAAGTGTGTCAAGAGACCAAAAAGCTTAATCTGACAAGATATCAGATTGCATGGAGAAAAAAAATGTCCAGGTCCACTCTGATTGGTCCAGAGAAAATGAAGTGTTTTGAGTTTTTTGGATGCCAAGTGATACAATTTCAGGCAAGGCAAGCCACTTTTATTTATCTAGCACATTTCATACACAAGGCAACTCAACGTGCTTCACACAAGCAACGACAGAGCATTTAGAAACACAACAGCTAACGATAATACGGTGTTATTTTTCACGTAACAAAAAAAAAAAAAATGGCCCATTCGTCACCACTGCATTAGACTTCAAGAGTGTACATACACACAAGCCAATGTGTGCGATGTTTATTACGTGGTTGGTGTGTAGGAATACGCAGTCTTTGAATGAAGGATTTAGGCTTATGTTTATTACGTGGTTGGTGTGTAGGAATACGCAGAATGAATGAAGGGTTTAGGCTGAGCTGCGGTGCCCCTCTCCCCCTCCTTACTCTTGGCACACCTTCGTGACCCTCCCCCACTCACTCCCCCATTCTTATCCTCCTCTCATCCTGCTTTGAATTAGCTGACCAGTATCCCGTCCCCACCCTCCTCTTTTCTGTCCCACTTCAAACTTCTTTTGTACACTCTCCCATTTACAGTCCTCTAACCCCTGTGGCTACTGCAGCTTCCCTCAAAACCCTGTGTGTGTGTGTGTGTGTGTGTGTGTGTGTGTGTGTGTGTGTGTGTGTGTGTGTGTGTGTGTGTGCGCACACGCACGCGTAAACGTGCGTGTGTTTAGAGGGGTGTTCTTGTGCAGCTGTCCTTGTGAGTTCTATGGCGCAATGAATTGTGGCGGGGATGCTGTGAGAGTGAGTACTGTCTGATGTGTCCCCGTACGGAATGGGCCTGGTAATCCACGAGTCGATGAATTGTTAAAAAATGAAAGAAAAAAAAACCCAACAAGGACGCAGTTAAAAGTGAAATTATCATTATTTTTATTAATTTTTTTTTACATTATGCACAACTCTCATTTTTTGTTCAGTAATCTAATTGTAACATGTATTTGTTACATATTTGGATGCATTTTTCTGCTTTAGGAAACATTTATGTCTTAATTTTGGCGGGGCTTGGAACGAATTAGGGCTTTTACATGTAAAACGCCTCTCTACTTACAAAATGTTCTAGTTAAGAAATTTCATCCAGAACCAATTAATTTCGAACATAGTGGTACCACTGTAATAATATTTCAAGGTGTATATTTTGACATGTTAAGAAATTTCATCCAGAACCAATTAATTTCATACATAGAGGTACCACTGTCATAATATTTCAAGGTGTATATTTTGACGCACTTTTGGCACTCTGTTGACAGCGCACTTTGAGTATGTTAGCGCCAAAAGATCACTCACATTTTTCCGTCGCAGCGTTGGTGAACGTTGGAAAAACTAGTTCCCCAAAGATACAAAGGGTAAGCTCCAGTTATTGCCACGTTGCTATGTAAAATACCAAAATATCTGCGGGGAATGTGTGAAGCACCCATTGGATGGATCTTGACAAATCAAGGCATTCATGGCGGGTGAGTCACCCCTCCCCGGCGTTGATTGCTCTCCTGGCATCATTTCAGTGCCCTCCCTCTTGTGTTAGGAAACAACTGGAGCGGTGCCTTTGTGCCAAACACACCTTGCAAAATACACAATAATTGAATAGGAAAGAATTTGATTGGGTGTGCTGCAGATTTCTTCTTAAGCAACTTTGGGTATGATTTCCAGGAAAAATATGCAATGGAAAAACCTAAACCTTGTCTGACTGTCAGCATACTTGTTGCCAGTGAACATGGCAACAGATTGAGCCATGCGGATTCCTTTCTCTGATGGATTGGATGTTTTGTTTTGTTTTTTTCTGGCGGGTGGCTCGGAACCTATTCCTTTGGCTCGCATATGAAGCTTTTGATCATTTTGACACGCATGCCTTAATATATGGGACTCATTTTGTCAAAGTAGCATGGTCCTGTACGTGGAGCCCTCATTTTACGAGGGAGTTCTGTTCGTACGGCAGTGACATAACCAGAATTTTTACACAAGTCGGAACGCGCCGCAGTTTATCGCTAGCTGATGTTAACGCCGTTGTGAAGTCATAATGACGGTACATAGTGGTGTGAAAAAACTTTTGGGCAATAAATCGAAAACAGTGACACGTTAGTTCCCCGCCGCACAAATTAGTTTATTGCGTGATACAGGTTACCGAGTAGTTTAGTAGCGTAACCCAAGCATCCTCTTTAATCATGGGCGGGGGTCCCTTGGCATCACGAACGGCACGTAATTTGCGGAGAGGCACGAGAATACATGCCCACTTTCTATTTATGGCCTACAAGTGTTTTTCAAACTCTCTAACGTCTTCGCTAGCAACCCTCGGCTAAAACTCAGCTCCTCACCGACATAGAAAAGTGTGTTGACATACTTCCTCGACACCAACTACTACCTTCCTATTTACTAGTGCTTTGACGCCACCGAGGTGTTCTCGAAAGAGTACAATAAAAGCAAATAGCTGATGATAGATTCCACAGAAGAAAGTTCACTTGTTGACGAGTGAGAGGTTATGACACGTCTCAACAGATTGGTGCCATAGGAACAAAAACTCCCTCGTAAACGGAGGAATCCCTCATAGTTCCACTTTCAGAGCTTTTAGCCACTATAATTATGCTGATTTGGTTGTACACACCCATTTAAAATGTGATTAATCCAGATTCATTCATTACAAAGTCCCAGTCCCTCATTCTCAGCCGAGTTATCTTTTGATGCGGTAAGCAATTCGTAAAAGCCTCGAGTTGGTCCCCAGTGACGAAAGTTGATGTTTTGCTGATGTCATTATGACCACAAATCCTCATGCGGCTCCATGCAGGACAGGCCTCGCGATGAAAAGAAAAACACTTGTAGACTTCTTCACCACCGCCGTGTTTGCCTGCATTCACAAACACACTGGGTGATGATATATGTGCTCTAAACACACACACACACACACACGTGCAGGGCTCCCCAATTATCGGCGCACACAAATAGACGCCGCCTGGAAATAGCAGAAGCTTACGTGTGTATTCTGGCTGCAGCGACGGTAGCTGGATTCCGATAGATGTTGGATTAGACAGCGGCAAAGAGACTGAGGGGAAGGGATTAGCACTGATGAGCTACAATATATGTGCTCTAAACACACACACACACACACACACGTGCAGGGCTCCCCAATGATCGGCGCACACAAATAGACGCCGCCTGGAAATAGCAGAAGCTTACGTGTGTATTCTGGCTGCAGCGACGGTAGCTGGATTCCGATAGATGTTGGATTAGACAGCGGCAAAGAGACTGAGGGGAAGGGATTAGCACTGATGAGCTACAACTGCTTGTGTGGCGGGTCGGCGTATGTGTGTGTCGTGACGGGCTGCGTGCACAAACGCAAAAATGTTGGTCGGGTTTCGGCGGCGTGGTCGGTAGGTCGCGGTGAGGAAACGAGGAGGAGGGAACGGCTGATTAAAGATTTTGGCGGGTCTGATTTTTGGTGTGTGCGTGCTCCTGCACGTTAACAAAACAGCCTGTAATCAAGAGACTGAGGCAAGGGAGCTTTAATTACTTCAATTCTTTCTCCACACATTTGCATGCACACACGCATAGGCTGCTCTCAGTGGCTGTCGGTCAGGGTGTGTGTGGGGGGGGGGGGCTCTTCATTCACCACTAACACGCTACCACTCATGTTTGAAGCTCTTCTACTCTACTTTGGGCGCGCACTAGACCGCTGTTATCACACACACACACACACACACACACACACACACGCGCACACACACTAGTGCCGCGTAAGTATGTCATGCGACCTTGACAATTAATGTGAAGCAAAAAAAAAGCGACTGTTGAGGTTGGCTTCATGCATAAATCCCCCTCTCTAGGGTTGTGCTTCACAATGGTAATCAACTCGAGTCAGAAAGGGAAGGTACAAACCTGACTGTCAGTGGGCATGCAAAGGTTGTTTTTTTTTTTTTTTGTTTGTTTTTTTTTTTAGCTGTGACTGACCCAACATATTCCAATTTATTTATTTATTTATTTTTTAAATCAGGCATGTAACAGTTTTGGTTGTATTGTGATCGGTGTGCTCTGAGCACCACACACATGAAGATTCTGTTCCAGCACCAATCTTGCCACGTCGGACCTTTGAAGCAAAAATCTTAGGCGATCACATGTGCCAATGTGACACATGAGTTTCCGAAAAGGAATTGGAAGTGGGAGCTTTGAAAAATGGCCTTGTCGTCAACATTAGACTTGCTTTGGAAAAATAAATTCTTGCCATCTGGGGAACCCACTTTTTTAGACAACAATAAAACGACATCAGCTAGGACATTTTTTTTTTTTTTTTATGCACTGCTGCTTCATTGTTTGTCAGTCAAACCAACCCATTTCGGACCTTATTATTGGGACAAATCCACTCTTAACACATCTTGGACAAGTGTGGCCAATTGATTTTGTGAAGGATGAGAAATTGGAACGCTTGCCAGAATTGTTCTCCCACCATCAACTCATAATAGCCATTTCGAGTCAGGACTCCCAAATATATTGATAATTGTCAAGTATAATACTATTGACGGTGATGTATGATGATAAAGGGATACATAAGGGATCGTACACCCAATACATACAGTTTGCAACTGTCGATGTCTTGGTGTCACAGAACTATGTTGAACTGAATCAAGGCGGCAGAGTTAGCCAAAAGTAGTGTTTCGCCGGCAACTTGGTGCAAGTGAACAGTTGAAGTGAA